TGTAGATCAACATAACAAACATTGAACACAAAGTATCTGTGTTACATTACCTGTTAGACTCTGTTAGTGTACTCAACTATCTATCGTCTGCTTTAATGTGTTGCAGTATATATTAGATCGATCTTTCTTAATGTATTCCATTATCTGTTATGTTGATCTACACTGTTCTCTTTAGTGTGTTCAATGTTTGTTATGTTGATCTACACTGTTCTCTTTAGAATGGTGTAATATTCTGGGATACAGTATGAATAAATATAGCGGCAGAGAATTGTAAACTACAGATACTACAGCGTCTAAACTGCTTGCTACACTTCACTTATACGACGTACGTCAAAATTCATATTCACCAGTATTTCAGATATCACGGCTAGTCTTTTTATTTTACTGTTTGGACCGCATTTAACAAATACATTTAACCCACTTTCTTCATAGTTAGATATTACGGTTTAGACTGCTATATCATATTTTATATATCTGTTTTTCTGATTATGTCGTATTGAGAATGTCATAATTGTTTTATGTTTATTCATATTATAAGCACTAAGGAAAGACCGACGGCTAAAAACTGAAAACATATATGTTTGGCAGCGGTTAACCAACGACGAGGCTCATTTTAGAATTAACACAACTAATACTGACTGACATACGTTTTTTTTATTCCAATACAGACTAAAAACACTTCTTCATGTGGTAGTTTTCTGTAACGTGTATATGTTTAATCTAACCCCAAGCATGTTCTAAGTGTTTAATCTAATCTCAAGCATGCTCTAAGTGTTTAATCTGATACTAAGCATGTTCTAATTGTTCAATATAATCCCAAGCATGTTCTAATTGTTTAATCTGATACCAAGCATGTTCTAATTGTTTAATCTAACCCCAAGTTTGTTCTACGTATTTAATCTAACCCCAAGTTTGTTCTAAGTGTTTAATCTAATCACAAGCATGTTCTAATTGTTTAATCTAACCCCAAGTTTGTTCTACGTATTTAATCTAATCCCAAGCATGTTCTAATTGTTTAATCTAACTCCAACTTTGTTCTACGTATTTAATCTAACCCCAAGTTTGTTCTAAGTGTTTAATCTAATCACAAGCATGTTCTAATTTCAGTATACCAACTGATGAAAACTACTAAAACCTGTTATGTATATACTGCTATTTTTGATGTAGGTACCATGGGTTAGTGTGTTCCAGTATCTGTGTTACACTATCTGTTAGACTCTGTTAGTGTACTCAACTATCTATCGTCTGTGTTAGTGTATACCAGTGTCTGTTAGTTTAAAATAATAGTGTTAGAATGCTCTACTGTCCAGTATCTGTGATACACTACCTGTTAGACTTTGTTAGTGTACTCAACTATCTATCGTCTGCTTTAGTGTGTTGCAGTATCTGTGTTACACTACCTGTTAGACTTTGTTAGTGTACTCAACTATCTATCGTCTGCCTTAGTGTGTTAAACTTTTGTAATTATGAATATAATGGGGAACAGAAAATTTGAAAGAGTTAGAATATCGTGTTAATTCTGTTTGCGAATTCTAGAACATATTCATATTACATTATTACATTGGTGATGTATTTTAAGAGAAAGCTTTGTTAGTATATCCATATTACACTATTACATTGGTGATGTATTTTAAGAGAAAGCTTTGTTAGTATATCCATATTGTTACAGCCACGTCTTCCTCCGTTTTGTTGGAATTATGATACTAAACAGCATAGTTTTTGTTAGAACAATTATAAGATAATAGCTGTAAGCTTAAAGTAAATGGTTGCCAATAATTTTCAGGATATTTACAGTAACAAACATGTCCACCTTCGTGAGAGTTTTAGCGGTTTACTTCGTAGAATCTGTTTAGGATTGAACTATCAGGGTATTAGTTTAAGGCCGTGATTGAATTTCATATAAGTCTATAAAATGTACACTACAAGTAGCTTATGGACAGAAGTAAGCTATTGTTTCGATTAGAATTATTATAAGTAAAAATACATTTATGATGGCAAGTTTGTCAGTGTAATTAGGTGTATATACCAAATCCATAGTACGTTCGTTACGACGATGAAGTTTAACAGGTTAAACAATAGAGTTAAAACGATGAATAATAATCATAATATCCCACACAATACTGTACTAAGTAGTGTAACTAAGATCGCTCTAGTGTTTCGGATATCTCGAACGATTTCAAGAACGTTATACAGTCCTAAGTAGTCGTTTATGCGTGTTTTGTTTGTGTTAATATTATTTATTTATTTATTTCCATTTGTAAAGCAGCAGTCAACTTAACTTTATTGTTTTATTATATTTCTGCTTGTTGTTCACGTTCTTATACCTTTCTTTTGATGTAGATGTTTTAAATTGGACTCATTTCCATCTATAATACTCTCTGATGTTTTCAGTAAATGTCGTGTTTTTGCTGAACCGCGATTGCTGTGGCGTTCAGTGAAATTAAAACAAAGAATGATAACGTACAAATAACATTAAATGACGTTTTATTCCGAATTTACAGTTTCAGCTTTTATTTTGACAAATACACTATTATATTAGTTTTAGAATACGATATTGTTATAGTTTTCCATAACTTTGTATATACAAATATGCTGTTGTGTTTCAAATCCAGTTCTTATGTAACGGTTCTGTAACATGGTCTTAACAACGACATCTGTTGTATAAAAACTAAACTTATGTTGGACACCATAATGCTTCCAAAACGAATAAGAAATACGTTTTAAAATACTCAATTCTACTGTTAATTGTAACTAACCTATTCAACGTTTCGCTAAGGTTTCACAAGTAAAAACATATGGTTAAAAGTTCAACACACTTTCTTATTATACCTATTCGGACATGTAGAGCATAAAGTATTAATTAGATCAAACATTTACATGTGCAAGTTATAGATTATATCTAACATAACCGAATATATTTGCTTCGTTCTTATACTTGCTTAAAAGGCTTAACAAAGCTTTCTCTTAAAATACATCACCAATGTAATAATGTAATATGAATATGTTAACAAAGCTTTCTCTTAAAATACATCACCAATGTAATAATGTAATACGAATATGTTAACAAGGCTTTCTCTTAAAATACATCACCAATGTAATATTGTAATATGAATATGTTAACAAAGCTTTCTTTTAAAATACATCACCAATGTAATAGTGTAATATGAATATGTTAACAAAGCTTTCCCGGTACATCTATAATATATAATAAACATATATAATAAAACTACGTATTATGTATAAAATACTATTGATCTTGCAGTATTATTGTAAGCAAACTGTCTATACATTATTCATTGTTTAACAGTAATATCAGAACAATCTTATAAAAGTCCCATGTAAAACATACATTGTGTATTAAGGTTACACCTACATCTTAACGTTCAGTCATAAAGATTCACTGAGAAACCCTAATGTTTTAGGTAGATATAAAATACATAAACAATGTTTATGTTCCAGAAGTTAGCTATCAGGTACTAGCTTGCTATATACGTATATAGATTAACTTATAGATGGCATATAGGTTAAATATGGTATTGTACGTCGCATTTGCTTCTTAGTAGACTAAGCAACTTATCCTTGATTACGTCACAGTTGTCCAGTGGCGTGATGTTAGCGTTAGAGAAATGCAAGCTAACCTGGGAACCTACCCTCCCTGCGCATGCCCATCTTGAGACACTTCTTGAGCCGACAGTATTGGCACTGGTTTCGATGATGTTGGTCAACTGGGCAGTTTCTGTTTCCGCGACAGGTGTATGTCAAGTTCCGTCTGACGCTTCTTTTAAAGAAGGACTTACAACCTTCGCATGTGAACTGGCCGTAGTGCTTACCACTGCTTTTATCCCCACAGACCACACATTCCATATGTTGAACGTTTTTATCTACAGTCTGCGATGTCGTACTGGGCTGTGGGGGCGGAGGAGGACCGTTATGACTGTCTGTCGGTGTCTGCGGCGTTAGGTCGGTTTCCGGTACCGAGACTCCAGCAGTCGGCGGTGGATCCCTCCAAGACGTTACGGCCAGCGCCATGCCAGAGATCTAAAGTTACACACTGATTCTTTTGTGAGCTAGTTCACTGAGAACGGTGAATCGCTTCAGACTATCGGTATTACCTCCCCATAGAAAGAGTCCAGGACGGGGCCGAAGTAAGCCTTATATTATCCTAAATGGAAAGGCGCTGGTATGTTCTACTCCCCACCCAACACAATGGCATTCCGCGTGTCTTTACACAGCCAAGGCAGACGGGCAACTAGAGCTGCCCCACTCAGGCTTCACAACAACAAGCCCTCTGCCCCCAAGCAACCCAAGTAAGGAGGAACTGCGCGTGAACCTGCGTGAACTTGGGCCAGAATGAGTTGGTAAGAGTCGGAAAGTAACTTGCTGTGCTACGAGTAGCTAGTGAGTGGTGGACTTCAAAGACCGTGAATTATGACATAATAGTCGAGGCTGTTTAGTTGTCATGGAAACCTTTCCATATATGGCTGCGGTGTCATCAAAGTTCAAGATGTCTATTAGTGAGTGATAATCCCGGTTTAGCCTACAAGCAATCAGAGCGCGGAGACTTAGAGGTTTGAACTGCTTTCTCATTGGTCATTCTCTCGTGCCGATACTCGGGCAATCTGCCAGCTTGCTGCTTGCTCTGATCCTCGAGCTCACTTGCGCCTAGTGTTATGGCTATCGTGGCCAATCACTCGGAATTTGGCCAAAGTATCGGACTCAGGAGGTGTAAAAAATGGGCTGGCCCATGATATCACAATATTGACATCAAAAACCTCCCACAATTTTAATACATCCCAAACTTCCCAAAGAATACCCAGCAGAAAGGCGAATCGAGAACGCTTCCTAGCTGAGCTGAGACAGTTATGTATTGTCACTACGGGTGTTCAGCACAGTTTGTTCTATTACTGTGGGCGAGTATGTAGCAGTTAAAAGTAAGCTCGTAGAATATAAAACTATTCCGCACCTTATTGCCTTCTTATTACAGACTTCACAACACTACTCTGTAAGGAGCTACCGAAACTGAAAACTATACTTCAGCGTAACAAAACAACACACTTGCGAGTTTGTGTAATTGTATTTAATTACTGCTTTATAGATTATGATGTAGCATCTATAGAAACGTTATGCGCTACAATGAAAAGCTGATTTTATTATTCTAATCAACATTCCCATTGTTAACTTAAAACTTACTTGCAAGTTTGTGTAACTGTATTTAATTACTATCTTATAGATTACAATGTGGCACCTGTAAAAAAAAAAAAACTTTAATAATAAATAATCAATGATGTTTATACGTTCAGATGAATATGCTGATCGGGAGAATTTGGAGTAAATCAATATTTCCTTGGTGTCAAAAGTAGGGTAAGTTAGTTTGATCCGACAAAGTAACTAGATATACGCCGAACGTAATATAAGACAAAAATTATAAATTCCTTATTTTTAGTCGAGTTAAAAGACAGTCTTAGAGTACAAACAAACCAGGTAGGTAATGTCTTTCTTAAAGGTTCGTTTATGTGTTTCGTTTGTACGTAGTTTGTTACTACTACGATCAAACTGAATTTCAATTTATAGAGACTGACATAATCATCATTTTTAAACGACGGAGAGTAAAATATTTTCAAGAATTTAAAGAAATTAAATCTTTTTTTTTCCAAAAATGTGTACCTTCCTGTTTCTTTAAGAAATGTAATTTATGTTTATTTAACAGCGTATATCATTTGTATTATTTAACATGTATGTTAAGTGTCGAAAAAGGTACGTTACCCTCCGTTCTGTATGTGTAATGTTTGTTTTATAGACATATCTGTTTCCTCTCGTATCAGTATGTGTAATATATATATCCTTTTAAACGTGCTTATCTTGATATCTCCTCCATATTTATACTGTTTGTCGTTTATCTTTGCAATAATAATGCTGAATTTGTGTCTCTTCTATAGGATATTTGTCTTTCTTGTTCTATTTGTTCTATTTACTTGTCAATATATATTATGTTTAACTTCATGTCTTGTTGATATGTGTGATATTTGGGTTTATAATAATGCTTACATTATAGTCTCGTCAATACGTGTAATCTTCGTCTTTTTAGTTATGTTTAACTCTTTATCTCATCAATACGTGTAACGTTTGCTTTTCTAACAGTACGCACCTCGTTATCTAACCAAAGAGTTCACTAAGTGTTTTTCTACCTAGCCGTTTTTAACCACTTCACCATTCTAAATATATATATCGTAAACCTGTCAAATCACTTCCGCTTCTTCACTCGCCAAAATAACCTATAGGCTAAAAAGGTTCAGGTTGTATACACGGAAATCTCTTTCTGTATCTAAAGTTACATATATTCATTTTTCAACTAAGTTCACTCGCTTCAAATAGTTTTAGGTTAGTGTCTCGAGCAAAGCAAACCTGATAATAGCAAGTCATCAGTAGCTGTTGGAAAGTAAGATGAGAAAACAGGTTTACAAGGTAGTCAAGCATCGTGTCTGACAACAAGCTAGACTCTCCAATAAAGTAACGTGCTTCTTTATTTTACAAATCTTCTTTCATTGGCGTTTGAAACTGTGATGTTCTTCACTCTCCTATTCTGTTATTTTATGTCTTTTATTTTATAACAAATATATGTTATGATGCTTCTCAATTGGACTGAAATAACTAGGAAAGCCTTTAGCAAATTAAGAGAAGAAAACCAGGAACTTTGTTGTTTTCCTTAGAAAGATATTCGACATAAAGTGCCCCTCCCTCCAGTGGCTCAGCTGTAAGTCCACGGGCTTATAAACGCTAAAAAGTGACGGTTTCCATACCCGTGGTTGGCACAGCACTGATGGCCCATTGTGTAGCTTTGGGCTTAACTTCGAACAAATCGACCAAAATCTTTGTTGAAACCAATTAGTAACACTAGAGGAATTAGGTTGAAAACCTAATAATTTAGGAACAAAAATTAAAAACAAGAAAAAACACCAAACCAACTTACCCAAACTACATGTACACATCTATCAAACAAAATTTAAATGAATTTATTCAAACGACACATTTCTCAGTTTATTTAAACCTCATTGCTTTATAAAAAGCAGTTCTTTTATCCAAGAACACACTTTATAATTTACACATTGCTCGCGTGTGCACAATTTGAGATACGATACCTGAAGAGGTAATCATTCAAGTTGAATCTCAGCTTAAAAGTTTTGCGAATTTGAATAGAATAATACGTCGTGAATAAAAGCATGACCAGACTTTAAGTACTAGTAGCTCCCATTCGATAAAAACAAAGCATAATCAGCACTCCGTTATAGTTGATTTTATGGACTTTAATTTTTAACTGTCAAGTTAACTATGATATATTATAGTCATGTGCTACAGCCAAGTTCATAACATACTCTTTGCTGGGGAGGTTTCAGAGTGAGCTCACGTGTAGTTTATTACTTAAAGGAAGTGGTTACCTAGACCGAGGGCAGGAAGAGGCGTCAGACGGCTGCCACATAATGTTACGCTGGAGATCCTGCAACCTACACGTATTTCGTCGATGGTTGAAACGTGACTCTGCCATCTCCTTGGACAAGTCGAAGGTCTGTTGTAGTCACGGATCAGCATAGCCACTTGTAAGACCAGTTCTATAAGTTGCCTTTATTGGCCGCTGGGGCAGATCAGGGAGCTGTTAGTACAGGTACATCAAGTGTCTTTAGGCACGTATTCAGATACAAGTCTTTCCTACACCTTTCTCGAAAGACAGATCACAATAGTCATTCCTTCAATCTCTCACTCCTATCACCTTTTCCGCAACTTAAAGAATAACATTTATAAAATATTCCCTGCTTAGTATTATTATAAACTAGAAAAAAGAAAAGATAAGCCACTGAGGTATTCCTATCAAATCCAGTAAATAATATATCCAACAAATGCTGACCTGACCTCACTAATCCTTAAACTAAGATATCCAACGGAGATCTCCAAGAGTAACAGTCAGTTTTTCTCTTGCACCTACCAGTATTTGTCTTCGACATCACGTGACATATTGCTCATAAAATCTTGTCTGCAATAAGTATTTGTTATAATTTCACGTATTATTTCAAAGATGAAGTCATCTACGAAATATGTGGTTGCTGTCAGTATTTTATTCTTACGAAAATGTGTGCTTAAAAAACGACTTTTATCTGTCCCACCCCTTGTCACTTAATACTTTTGAAGCTCAAGAAACAGAGAGTGCAGTCAGCGTATAGGCACATTGTGGGTTTAATATTATGCATTAGTATCTTATCGTAGTTAGCACAGATATTAAGCTGGTCAGGCGTATTCTCAGAGTACAGGATGTTTAACTATGGCTCTAAATGTACTTCACCTATTTACAAAATTACAGGCCCTTTTCTCATCTTTAATGAAGCTCAATCGTCGATATGTTTGGGTGTTTCGTTGAAAGTATGAAATGTTTCACTTTTTTAGTCTTTGTTAGATATACACGTTTGTTTTCGTTTAAGTTTAATGCAAGTGTTATGATTTAGATAAGTTATATAGCGCGAATGTTAAATTTAGTTATTTTTAGAAGCGTAGCTTATTTCAGGTTTATTTACGTAACTATTTAGGAATCACACATTGTGTAGTTCAATTGCTCTGAATTGCCGATTGTTATATTATTGCGTCATGTTACTAGAACTTTCAGAGTTTTTCTCGTTGTTTCAACTGAGTATTATTGCATCATAATATCTAGCAGTATGCGGAACGTTCTAGACCTCTGTCGTGGTATACATATACGCGTTTGAAATTTAGTTTGATAGTTAGATCTAGACTTCATGGTTGTGAGTTTAGCCATAAAGAGCGTATAATGGCGATTTTAAAGTGAAATTATCACAGACTGTATTGTAATAATAGAATAGAGAAGAATAATTCGTCTTGCCAGTTGTGTTCTAAAGTAATTGGACCAGCTTATGTGGACTTTGACGAAAAAGAGACAATTATTTAAAGCTCTAGATACAAGTATGATAACCGAATGAACACTTGTATATATGTTTGACTTGTTTTAATATATTATTTTTAAGCACGTGGACTGCATAAACCCTGACAGTCTTATATATTATTCACAATTCCTGAATGCTTATAATAACTTAGACAATAGTAAACAGTGACACTGCGTGAAAAACAGAAGTTACCCTAAGTTCAATAACTGTGAACGAAATGTAGGTTTGAGTTACTAAAATATGAGAGCCATGTTATGAAGTGTTGGATTTGAGCTACAAGTGTATGAGAACCATGCTACGAGGTGTTGGATTTGAGCTACAAGTATATGAGAACCATGCTACGAGGTGTTGGATTTGAGCTACAAGTATATGAGAACCATGCTACGAGGTGTTGGATTGAGTTATATAGATATGAGAACCAGACTGTCATTATAACAAATATGCCAAAATAGGCTAAATGATCTTCTTCTGTCATATTTT